AAAAAAAAAAAAAATCAGCCCTGGAAAAGGAGAACAAAAAGGGGAGAACGTCTCCAATACTCTATTCCATTCAACAGAACAGCACAAAAACTTCTTGTAGATTCCAATATCATCACTTTTGACTTCAGATCGGCACCAAGGGATTAACACCCTTGTAATAGCAATCCTCCTTTCTTGTCTTTCTCTGCTTCACTGGGGCAAGCAACTACAGCAACCACCATTAACAGCTTCACAACAGGGCTGCAATCAGCCCACCATTGGCTCCACATATCAGATTACAGATGCAAAGGCGACAAAAATAGGCTGACGAAACATACCCCTGTTTGCTCCAATTGATTTCGGAGAAGAAAGCTTCAGCCGGCTACCCGTCCTATCATCATCGTATTTGCAAATGAAAAAGGAATCCAATGTTATCTGAACAGAAAAGTACTAAGCTCCCAATCTATTGTGATTCCCCCTGATTTATTCTATATCTATTTGCTATATGATATTCATGCTACTGTGGTTTAGCAGAATGATCTGATTGGTTTACCCTTTAACACTTGATAAATGCATGGCTGATTTATTTATTTCTTCATATTAGTAGAATCAGATCTGAATCATTAAAACCCCTTTTGTCCGAATTAGCTATTGACTTCATTCGGTAAATTGTTATTTTCTACCGACTCACAAATTGTTATTCGTTGCCTTGGTCCTACTTATCTTGTCATTTCTTGATAATTGTAGCGGCTGTACCCATCCAATATTAGTATTCGTAATCAGGCTGCCTTATTTGTATCTTATTTATAAAAAAAAGGCCTTATTTGTATATTTCATACTGCTAGGCTAGAGTCTATTTTGTGAATTCTATTATACTCGCGGCTATTATCTCTTTTTCTTTGTTGACTGACCTATTTAATCCTACTTAAACACTCTAGTTATTATAATCATTGTTCATTTTCTTTTTGCTGTTTAACTTCCACTGCTAATTCATCATCTTACTGTAACTATTCCTTACAGCATTTCTCCATTATTACCATCTGCCTATTTGTTGTTTAAATCTTTTGATTTTTATTACTGTTTTCAATACCATCCCTTAGAGTTCGGTCAACATACAAAATAACCCATCTACACGTCACACCCTCCCCCATATAAATGGTATGGTCGTGGTGGGCCTCCCAAGCTCCCACCCCGACTTCTCATTACTAAAAAAAGGTGGAAAAACAAAATGTGTTCTCCTATATCGAAGATTGTGAGATTTCATTGTGTAGCCTTCTTTGCCTACAATAACATGAACCTATCAAATGGAATTAAAGTTTGAAATTTGGTTTACAAGTAGACTAAGGTAGAGTGAACAAATCAAGCACACTCATAGTTTAATCGATACGAGGTCCAATCACAGAACATTGATTCTCAATTCCTCAAGAGATCTAGGTTTTGTTTTATATTATCTATCTATTGGGGACATGGTTGAGCTGGCCTGGAGGCCCACGGCCATCTGTCACAGCTTGGCAACGTCGATCCTGTCAAGCATGTCAGCTATGTGCCTTACGGATAAGCTCGCCTAACGGATAGGGATGGGAAGACAACTCGGTCGAGTAGGACTCTACCCCTTGTAACCTCGGTGGGGAACGCTGTCCCGATTTCCCTGGAACCCTACTCCGATCAGGATACGGACCCTCCGGTTATAAAAAGGTACTCCATGCTCAAGGTAAAGGACTCCCAACTTCTAGCATCCATTCTATTAATTAGCCCGGACCAGTATTCGTGTAGCTCTGTCCGGCCATCCACCCCCTCCTACTGACTTGAGCATTGGAGTACTTACCCAGGGATAACTCCTCGGGCCTCTGATTTCTTCCTTGATTACAGGTCTTAAAGCGCAGCCTCGTCCTTGAAGCTTGGCCCCGACCCACTAGCAAGGACTATCTGGTTTCCATCCTTGGTTCGTGCACTACCTCGGATTGAGCGGCATTAGATTGGCGCCGTCTATGGGAAATGCACAAAAAGCCTTTCTCGAAAAACTTTCGTTCCTCACCACATAATCAAAAAAGCGATCAAGATGCCTAAAAACCAGTCTGAACGATTAGTTGGTCGTTCCCCGTCTCGAGAAAACCGACACCGTGACTCCTCGCACCAAGAAGTCCCGCAACCTTCGGCTGTAGTGGATCCAATGCAATTCCGAGCCATGCAAGGGAAGGTTGATAAGATCTTCGAGTTCATGCAGACACTGGGGTCTGCTGCGCCACCCAACCGGGCCATCCCCCCTTACGCCCCAACGCACACGAAGGACGATCCTTGGACCGAGGACCCCAAAGCGAGATGGTCAGACTTAAGGGGAGAGCGGTCTGAGCGTATGAGGTAGGACACACCCAAAGGCCCATCTCCACTGCCCGTTCCCATGGACAGGACCACCATAGCCAGACGCGCCACTCAGTGCGCATCTCCGACAAAGAAAGGCTCGGCAAAAGGACGCCGCCCTTCATGGTCTCTGTTGCCGAGTCAAGTTCGATCAAGGATCACCGCACATGACCCAAGAGGGAGGCCATGCACACTGCAGCCCCGGACAACAGAGATGTCGAGATTAAAGAGCTCCGGCAATGTTTGGAAGAGTTAGAGCGCACTCCGACCCATAAGAGCACAATTCTCGTCGTAGACCAACCTGTACAGGCCACCGCGCATATCACCAAGGAGCCACCCTTCATCCAGGACATCGTGGACAAGATACCCCCCGTTGGATGGCGAGCCCCCCAATTCGACAAGTACGATGGGAACTCCAATCCTTTTGACCATGTCGCGGCGCTCAAAGCCCAGATGATGCTACATGGTGCGTCGGAGGAACTAATGTGCAAAGCCCTTGTAACCATGTTGTTGGGCCTAGCCTTGGCATGGTACTCCTCTCTGTCGCCGAGGTCTATAACATCATGGGCCTAGCTAGAGACCCAGTTCTTGGCACAGTTCACTGCTAGTCAGAAGCATTGGAAAACTTCGGCCAGCCTTATGCAGGTTCGACAGAGGAAGGTGGAGTCCCTTAGAGATTACCTGGCGAGGTTCAACAAAGAAGCACTCCAAGTCAGAGACTTAAATCAATCAGTTGCGGTGACGGCCATACAACACGGACTCCACCCTTCCCCATTCAACTTCTCCATCTCCAAGAATCCTCCTTAGATGTTGACCGCACTAATGAGCCACGCGCAGAAGTATATCAATGCTGAAGAGGCCCAGGCACAGCTCAGAAACGAAGATGAGAAGCCCGACAGAAAAAGGAGAGAGATTGATGAGCGAAAGTCCGAGAGATCGGACAAAGATTACAAGAGACAAGATCGTCAGACCGACCATAAACCTCGCACCCTCCGCCAACCTATCAGAATTTCACGTTGTTTAATATTATGTTGTCTGAAATTTTGATGCAAATCCGTGACTGCAACTACATCAGGTGGCGCGAGAAGATGAAGACACAAAGTAACAAGAGAAACCAAGACAAATATTGTGAGTTCCACAAGGACCACGACCACGACATGGAGAATTGTTTCGACCTGTACAACCATATTGAAGATCTGATTAGGCGTGGTTATCTCAGCGGCTTCATAGACAGAAAGGAGAAGCCAGCCCAAGAGGAACAAAGGGAGGATGAAGCTGGGCAACCACCGTCCCGAGGCCCCCCAGCCGGCGTCATCCACATTATATCAGGAGGAGTCGCCGCTAGAGGGGAAAGCAGCTCGGGTCGGAAAAGATATTCTCGACTGTGCGAGATTGACGACCGAGGTCACGGGAGGAGGCGCGACACATCTATCACCTTCATTGACAACGACCTCCGAGGGGTCCAGACACCGCACGACGACGCCTTTGTCGTCACAGTCAAGGTGGCAAACTTCGAGCTGCGATGGATCCTATTTGACATAGGGAGTTCTGCCGACGTATTGTTTGAAGAAGCATTCGAAAAGCTTGGCATTGATAGATAACGGCTTAAACCAGTTAGCACTCCCATGATGGGATTTTCGGGAGAGCCCCTCTAGCCCATTGGGAGGATAATTCTTCCCCTCTTGATCAGAGATGGCGATGTTACTGTAACGGCCATGGTAGACTTCATCGTGGTGTGTTGCCCCTCCTATAACGTGATCCTCGGCAGGCCGACCCTCAATGCCCTGTAGGTCGTAGTCTCAACGTATCACCTCGCCATGAAATTTCCAACCAAGTATGGCATAGGGGTGGCACACAGAGACTAGAAAAACAACGCGGTAATGCTATTAGCTATCCTGCCAAGGACCACGTCCAACGACCGAGACGTTGATGGCGGAAACATATGACCTGCGTGACGAGGTAAAGGCGCAGCACGGCCAACCCGTGGAAGACCTCGTCCAGGTCCCCCTATTTGAAGATGATCCCGAAAGTACGGTCCAAGTCGGCGCCCTTCTAGGCGACCACCTCTGAGAGGAACTTGTGCGACTATTGAGGAATAATGCCGACGTATTTGCTTGGTCGGCAAAGGACATGCCTGGGATTGATCCCGAAGTTATCACACATCGGTTGTACATCGACCCCCGTTACCGACCTATGAAGTAGAAGAAGAGAAACTTCGCCACAGAATGGTGGCAAGTAATCGCTGATGAAGTACAAAAGCTACTCGACACTGGCTTCCTTAGGGAAGTTAAATACCCCAATTGGCTGGCCAACGTAGTGATGGTGAAAAAGGCCAACGGAAAGTAGAGAATCTGCATCAACTTCACCAACCTGAATAAGGCATGTCCCAAAGACAGCTTTCCTCTACCGAGGATCGACCAGCTCGTCGAAGCAACAACAGGACATGAGCTCCTAAGCTTCATGGATGCCTTCTGAGGCTACAACCAGATCCGGATGGACCCTGGACGACCAGGAGCGAACGGCCTTTATCACTGACCGTAGCCTGTACTGCTACAAGGTAATGCCCTTTGGCCATAAAAACACCGGCGCCACCTATCAGCGGTTGGTGAATGGAGTGTTCAAAGAACAACTCGATAGGAACGTGGAGGCATATGTCGACGACATGCTCGTGAAGAGCAAAAAGGTTGAACATCACCTGGCCGACCTACGCAAAGTCTTCGACACACTCAGAAAGTAAAAGATGAGGTTAAACCCAACCAAGTGCGCCCTCGAGATTGGCTCCGGCGAGTTTCTGGGGTTTATGGTAACACAGAGAGGAATTGAAGGAAATCCAGAGAAGATAAAAGCCATCCTTGGCATGCTATCCCCCCGGACCCACAAAGAGGTGCAACGGCTCACCGGGAGAATAGCTGCCCTTGGTAGGTTTATGTCCAAGTCCGCGGACTGGTGCCTCCCCTTTTTCAAAGCCCTCAAACGACCAAAGGACTTCCACTAGATAGAAGAGTGTGAGCAGTCTTTCTAGGAACTGAAGCAATACCTGAGCTCACCGTCCCTCCTGACTAAGCCGAGCCCAGGGGACGAGCTATTGCTCTACTTCTTGGTCGGAGATGAGGTTGTCAGCTCAAATTTGGTCAAAGAAGAGAACTGGGTACAGAGGCCGATCTACTACACCAGTAAGGTCCTCAACGGTGCAGAGACCTAGTACTCCAATCATGAAAAGTTAGCTCCGGCCCTCGTCACCGCAACCAGAAAACTTAGACCCTACTTCTAGGCCTACAACGTTCGAGTACTCACCAGCCAGCCCCTTAAGCAGGTGCTACAAAGATCGGAAGTATCAGGTTGCCTAGTCAAGTGGAATGTGGAGCTAAGTGAATTCGACATCGAATACGCACCCCAGCCGATGATCAAAGCCCAGACCTTGGCAGATTTCATCGCAGAATGTACATTTACCACCAAGGAACCGGCCCCATTGCCCCAAGTATGGACTCTCCATGTAGGCGGCTCGTCAAGCCAGCAGGGCAGCGGTGCTGGCCTTATCCTCCTCGGCCCAGGTGACGTAGTGTTCGAACATGCCCTCAGGTTTAAGTTTAAAGCATCCAACAATGAGGCCAAATATAAGGCCCTAATTGTTGGGCTCTGCCTTGCTTTGGACCTCGGGGCCCAACGAATCGAGGCTTTTAGCGACTCACAGCTCGTGGTCAACCAAATCCACGGCCAGTTTGAGGCTCAGACTCCCTCTATGGCGAGCTACCTACAAAAGGTGCAGGAGCTCATTCAGCAGCTCGAGCATTTCGACATTCAGTCGAGCATCGCACCAGCAGTCATCCTCATCCTTCTAGTGTAGCCTGGCCCATCTTGGATGGACCCCATAATCGAGTATCTTCGAGAGGGCACTCGCCCGGAGGATCGAGTAGAAGCGAAAAGGCTCCAACACAGAAAGGCCAGGTACTGTTTGATACAGGGTCAACTCTACTAGCGTTCCCACACGCTTCCATACCTGAAGTGTCTCCCCCCCAGTCGAAGCAAACTATGTTCTTAGGGAGATACATGAGGGCATTTGTGGAGATCACCCCGGCGCGCGCACACTAGCCCATAAGGCACTCCGGTAGGGGTATTTCTGGCCAACGATGAAGCAGGATGCCAGCCAATTAGTTTGGAAGTGCGATAGTTGCCAACATCACTCTAATCTCTATCACCAACCTACGGCCCCTCTGAAGTCGATCACCAGCCCATGGTCGTTTTCCCAATGGGGAATGGACATCCTCGGCCCCTTCCCCACCGCGGTTGTGCAGAAGAAGTTCCTTGTTGTAGTAGTGGACTATTTCACGAAGTGGGTAGAAGCCGAAGCTCTGGCACACATCACTGCCCACAATGCCCGAAATTTCCTTTGGCAGGGAATTGTCTGTCGCTTCGGTATCATGCGCGTGCTCATCACAGACAATGGAACACAGTTCACCGACAAGTAGTTCGAGGCCTTTTATGTCGACCTAAGGATCGATCACCGGACTACCACAGTGCATTGACCTCAGAGCAACGAGCAGATCGAGGTAACCAACTGCATCCTACTACACGGCCTGAAAACACGCCTAGATCAAGCCAAAGGAAGGTGGGTTGAGGAGCTACCGAGCATTCTCTGAGCCTACAAGATGAATCCCGCGAACTGCCACCGGGGAGACCCCTTTCAGTTTGACCTACGGGGCCGAAACCATGATCCCCATGGAAATAGGTTCCCTGACCCTTCAGACCGAGCTCTTCAACGAGGGGCAGAATGATGAAGATCTACGCGCGGAGTTGGACCTAGTATAAGAAGCTTGGGACCGAGCACATGTAAAGATGGTCGCACAACAACAGAAGATGGCACGACATTACGATTCTAAGGTAAGAAAACACGAATTCAAGACAACCAACTTCGTCCTGCACAGAGTCATAGTCCCCGCACCAAGAGAAGGAAAGCTCGGACCGAGTACTTATAGACTGGAAGACCTTGAAGGTCGTCTGATACCAAGGAGTTAGAACTCGGGAAACCTCAGAATGTACTACCAGTAGACCTACAAGAAATAAAAGTCTCATTTTAAGCTACTTCTCTGACTCAGAGACGTGCACACTTCCATCGCACACACCACACACGCACATGATAAGTCGCACTGCCAACTGAGTTGACTCAACCGATCCCCAAATGGCTGAGTACATCACGCCCAGCTCAGCAACGTATTGTCGATCAAGCTACCCAACTCAACTGACAACGCCTAAGCCTAAAGGTGGAGGAAGAATGCCCCTACCCACCAAGGCCTGAGGGTAGTGGAGGAACTCCGCACAACCGCCGACTTAACGGCTGAGCTAGCTGGGAAACGGCTAGCCCTAGAAGGGCCCCAAAGGCCCCCGAGACCAGAAACTAAGCATCCCATGGCTGAGAGCTCGGGAACCGAAAGATCTCGGACAACCACACCTCGGACAACACAAGACTGGGGACACTAAGGCATAGCCCGGCTGGCTATGCCTCGGATAACCACACCTCGGTCGACGCAAGACTGGGGACGCCAAGTAATAGCCCGGCCAGCTACGCCTCGACCAACTACACCTTGGTCAGCACAAGACTGGGGACACCAAGTAATTGCCTGGTCGGCTACGCCTCGGCCAACTAGACCTCGGTCAGCACAAGACTAGGGACGCCGAGGCATATCGATCAACTACACTATGGCCAGCGTAAGATTGGGGAAGCCGAGGTATAGCCCGGCCGGCCTTACCACAACCAACTACACCTCGGTCGGCCATACCTTGGCCAACAGAATCGTACAAGATGGAGGCATAGCCTAGCCTGACATACACAACAACCCGACACGTACAAGATAGATGCATAGCAACACATGATCAGAAAAAGTAACACCGATATTCAACTAAAAATTGTTCAAGGCTCGGCATACCGAGCCCAAAAAAAAAAACAAACACAAAATAACAAACACAGAAGGCAGTCGATCAATCCTCGACGGCAAAATCAGCAGCACCGTCAACGGCTTCGACCTCATCTTCAGCTCCCTCGGCGGATCCTTGCGGAGAATCCGGATCAAAGGCACTCCAAACCTGCGACTCAACAGCCAACTCTGGGTGGCGGCGAAGGATCCTTCATCGAAAGAGATTGAACCCAGCTACGAAGGAAGCCTCGGCATACTCATCCATTTGCAGTTGCATCTCCTCCGATGCCTTGTACTCATGGACGACTTCCTCAGCAGCCTCCTACCTCAACTTGTCTCTCTCAGCCTTAAGCTTGGCGATCTCTCGCTTCAGCTTCCGGATGAGACTAGCCTGCTCGGCCACCTCCCTCTCCAACGTGGCCGACTGCTCCCCAACGACCTGAAGCTCGGCCAACTAGGCCTTCTACCGCAGGTACTCGGAGTGCTCCCGCTCGTACATGACCGAAGGTCTTGAAGACGATCAACCAGCGCGACTGCCGCACAAGCATTCCACGGACAAACATGATAAGTGTATCGAAAAAGAGAGCGGAACACAAGGAATAGGAAAAGAGGAATTACCTGGGTAGCAAACCGTAGCAGCGCACACTCCAAGGCTCCGCTGTCGACCCCGACAGATTCCCGAACTATTGACATTGTCATGATTCCCCGTAGTAATTGCTCAGAAACCCCAGGTGTCTCCAGATTATCATCAATGCGAATTGACCACCTCGGCACGTGCAGACCCAAGCTGCTGCCTGCCTCAATTACCGATGCACCTATGGGACGTCGAACCCCTTTAGGGTCAACAACGACAATGTCGTCCTCCTCGACCTCCCGTTGTCGGACTCTTCTTCACCGACGAGCTGCCCTGTCCGCGGATCGTGGCTGCTCTTCTGCCTCAGGATGAGCCTCCGGTTGCACGTCAGCTCGCTCCTGCCTTTGTCGGAGCATCTTCATCCGGTGAACAATCTCTTCCTCGCTGGCCATACTAACACCTGCAACACATGATACCCAAGGTAAGCAGAAAGCAGGCAAGGTAAATTTAACTCGACAAACAAAAGTAAAGGAAACAGACCGGCCACCCTCTCCATCAGCTCGGCGAGCATCAGCTTCTCCGAGCATGTGTACGCGATAACGTCAATTTCATGGATCATGCTCAGGACCGACCTCTCCTCCCAAGTAAGCGCCAACCATTGGGGCTCCGGTAGAGTCGTCCTCGGCTCCCGCAGCTCGATAGGAAAAGGGAGACCCTCGGAGATGCGTACAAAGAAGAACGACTCCTTCCAGTGCTTCATAGAAGAAGGGGCCCCGACCAACGACCGAGTATCCCGCCGGGTGGAGAAGTAATAGTATCCCTGCTGGCGGTGCTTCAGTTGGAGCATAAAGCTCACCATCCCCAGGGTTAGTTCAATATCATGGACGACACAATAGGACATGAGGCCGAGCAAGAACATAAAGGAGTTTGGCATCAGTTGAACTGGCAACACCCTGTACCAGTTTAGCACCTCAGCGAACCCCTCGCTCAACGGGAACCTCAGCCCAGCCTCCAAGTTGTGCTCATAAACGCATAGCTCATCGGGCTAAGCATTAGTGGCCATCTCCCTAGGTAGCGGACACCTCATTTGGTATTCCGCGAGAATAGCGTATGTAGCTCAGATCCGAGCCATATCCCCGGGCGCCAAGACGCAAGGTGTGGTACCGAACTAGCGACCTGCCCAAAGAGGAAGCTCTGCCTCCATCTTGGAGGGACCAACCTCAGCCAACTCAACTTTGGTAGCCACGAAATCTCTCAACTCAGGCTCGTAGGTCGAGCAACGAGAAAAGTTGGAATCGGAACTACTGGAGGACTCAGAAGAGAAAGAGGACCGACAAGATGAAAAGGACATATCGAACAATTTGCGGAGCTGAAGAGTGAAAGCCTCCAAACTAGACGCCGAGCTGTTTGCCGAGTTATTTGCCGAGCTACCTACCAAACTATATGACCGAACAATGTGCCGAGCAGTGAATGCCAAACACCTTCTTGCAAGCAATACTGAGGAAGCTCCACCTCCATCTTGAAGGGACCAACCTCAGCCAACTCAACTTTGGTAGCCACGAAATCTCTCAACTCAGGCTCGTAGGTCGAGCAACGAGAAAAGTTGGAATTGGAACTACTGGAGGACTCAGAAGAGGAAGAGGACCGACAAGATGAAAAGGACATATCGAACAATTTGCGGAGCTGAAGAGTCAAAGCCTCCAAACTAGACGCCGAGCTGTTTGCCGAGTTATTTGCTGAGCTACCTACCAAACTATATGACCGAACAATGTGCCGAGCAGTGAATGCCAAACACCTTCTTGCAAGCAATACTGATGATAGGAGGTCCCCCCTCGTCTTCCCTTTTATAACCATCAGGGGCACAAACCGAGTAGAAATCAATGGTGCAGATCAAGCACCTCTAACATCATCTCGGATGGCCAATTGACGCGATCAATAACGTACTACAGGAAACCTCAGAAACTAAAGCAGCACCCTCAGCAGGCAGCGGTTGCGCCCATTAATTGCGCCGGTTCAACTACAGTACCGGTCCAACCTTCGACGCGGGGACCCATAGTACCAGTCCAGCCTTCGATGCAGATCCTCGGCTAGGCCACTCAAATCCTCAACTAGGCCATTTTAAGGCAACAAGGTCGTGCAGTAGACTGGTCGAGCACTTCCCCTCCTTGACAACAGAACTGAGGGAGTGGTTCGGGAACCGAAATTTCGATTCTCGTTTAAGTTCTACAGCCGACAATCGAAGAACTCCTTGACAACGACTGACCTGGTGCGGGCAATACACATGCCCAGAAGTTCCTCAGCTGGGCAACGAACCTAGGGAACCTCGTCCCTCGACTTCGAAACTAGGGGAGTGATGTTGGGGACATGGCTGAGTTGGCCCGGAGGCCCACGACCATCTGTCACAGCTCGGCCACGTCGGCGATGTCCGACTGAGCTACGACATTACCATGATTCCGTCGACCACGTCAGCTACGTGCCTCACGGATAAGCTCGCCTAAGGGATGGGAAGACAACTCCGCCGAGGAGTAGGACTCTACCCCCTGTAACCTCGGTGGGGAACGCTGTCCCGATTTCCCTAGAACCCTACTCCGACCAGGATACGGACCCTCCGGCTATAAAAAGGTACTCCATGCTCAAGGTAAATGACTCCCAACTTCTAGCACCCATTCTACTAATTAGCCCGGACCAGCATCCCTGTAGCTCGGCCCGACCATCCACCCCCTCCTAATGACTTGAGCGTCGGAATAGTTACCCAGGGATAACTCCTTGGGCCTCTAACTTCTTCCTTGATTACAGGTCTTGAAGCGCGGCCTCGTCCTTGAAGCTCGGCCCCAACCTGCCAGCAAGGACTATCTGATTGCCATCCTCAGTTTGTGCACTACCTCGGATTGAGCGGCATCACTATCATTAACACATGGGGGTCTTTAACTATGTGCATTTTTCAAACCTTGAGGACAAATGGTATAACTTTGTTACGTACCCAACATTGTTTTTGTTGCTAGATAGTGCACACTTTTGGGGTGATATGAAAATTTTCGATTAGTACTCTGTATTTTAAGCTTAGTGCCACTTTGGTCTCCAAATTTTAAAATGCGACAATTCAATACTCGAATTTTAAAACATGACAATTCAGTACCTGATGTTAATTAGTTGTTAACCAGCCATTGAGTGGTATTTGAAAAGGACATAAATGCCCTTCAAGTGTCATCTAATTTTCTTTATCAGCCATCCAAATATTGATAAAAAAATTAATAATCTCAAATCCTTGCCTCTTCTATTCAAGAAAGTTGGGGTCACCAGAATGCCCACTCAAACATGACCCCAACTTTCTTGAATGGAAAAGGCAAATATTTGGAACAGTTAATTTTTTGTCCACGTTTAGATGGTTGATAAAGAAAATTAAATAACACTTGAAGGGCATTTGTGTCTTTTTCAAATGCCACTTAATGGCTAGTTAACAACCAGTTAACGACAAGTAATGAATGGTTTGCCGCGTTTTAAAAGCTTAGGTACTGAATTATCGCATTTTAAAGTTCGGGGACCAAAGTGGCACTAGGCCCAAAGTACAGGATTATAATTGGGAATTTCCCCTTATTTTTATTACTTAAGGCTGCCTTTAGAAACAATGCACATTTATGCATTGACAAATGACAAAAAAAAAACACATTTTCCATTGCATATTTACATTGATAATAAGATATAAAAGTACATCAATAAAAAAAAAGTAAATTTGCATTCTAGTAGATTTTGATAAAAAAGACATACTTTATTGGAATTCATATTTGAATCCATTACAGTTAAAAATCAATTTGATAAGAAGATAAATTTGTCATGCAAAACTAGCCTAACTTTATAATTTATATGAACCATTTTACACTTGCATATTTGCATTCACACTTATTTGTGTCGTTGCCTAAGGATCTAGTGTTCACATCTCCGCCCCACAATTCCCCACAGCACATCCTGCCATGTAAGATGTGCCCAGATGTGCTGTGGGGCATTGTGGGGCCGGACGTTGTGGGGCGGAGATGTGGTGTCAAGGGTCTATGTGATGTGTTGTCTTTGACCTTCATAGGGGCAGCCGGGCAGGGTATACGTAGACCCAATTAGTGGATTAATGGATTAGCCGGGAAGGGTACATGTATCATATGAGACCGATTTTGTCCCAACAAAAAAAGTGTTCCAACACATTTTGATTTGCGTCGGCACATGTAAGACATGGTGGGTCCCAGGGACATGGATCATGTTAGAAGCGTGCGAGGCTTTAGTGCTTTACATTGCTTATATCATATGAGTGAATTACTTTGCTTATATGTGTTAGCTTTTACAACGCAGCGGTGCACCGTGGTAGGGCTTAACAAAACGTACGGTAGAAATGGGACAGATGTTGTACTAAGTTTACTTAATAGATTGATGTAAACATCGTGAGCTTGTTCCTTTATAAAATCGGTTGCTTCCGATACCTCCTTTTTGTTGTTTCTAAGCTTGGATAAGAAGACAGTAATGAATGATCATGATCACCCCTTATCTATGAGACGTGTTTAAAGTTTAAACCTTCTAAGAGGAGAGGCTTCATGCATGTGCTTTACTTTTCCAATTGTGCTGTTCACTGTTCTATTCTATTTTTACTATCTCACCAAGAGAGAGAAGAGAGAGAGAGAGGGAGACTCCACCCACAAGAAGAATAGGGTGCAGAACAAACGCTGGAAACGACGAAAATGAGCAGGAAAAGGAACCCCTCTTGTTCATGCGTTTTCTCTTTTGTTCCTTTTGCTTTCAGAAAAAAGAGTCTAATCTAAGCGGTTGTTTTCATCCATTTTATAAGAAAACCAATAGAATCCGCCAAGAAAACAACCACCTTCAAATTCAAGCTTTCTCTTCATCAACCACAATCCTAATTGCTGATTTGATCGTCATGCGCAATTTCATTTGGTTTCAGTACAGCTGGCTACATACTTCTTTCGATCACTTAATCCGAGTTCGGCTGTTAAAGTTGTTTTATGGCATAAGAAACACACGCGAGTTGAGCTGGAAGAAATAACGAAATGCTCAAGGTCAAGTTCTCTTCGGTCGGAGACATTTCGAAATGGTTTGATGGGCTTTAAGTGGGCCTACCAAGTAGCGGATGGGGTGGATCCTCCTATTACTACACAACCCGAAGGTACTTTCTGAATGCTTTTGTTTGATTGATCGGAAAAGAACCACCGATACGGTTCAGTAGTCAGAAGTTGGTTTGGTTGTATACGGAAATTACTCCGGTTGAACGGAAGGTATTGCTGCTTTCTCACGGAAATATTATCCGGAAAAATACGGACTGGCCCAATGCAAATTTTTGAATTGTATTGTAGATTTATAAATATTCAAAATGTCAAAACTTTCATTCTATACATTCATGCCCGCCCATGAATTGGTATCAATTTCAAACTGATACCTACTCCAATCATCACTGAAGTTCTCTTG